AAAGCCAAACAAGGGCAAACACCAGATTGGTGCGTCAAATGCCCCAGACCTCCTCACACAACTGCCGTGAAACTAAACACCTCTTCTAAGAAAAAGATCAATGGTGTTCATTTAACGTAAATGACCTTGTTTGACCCTTATAAGTTCAAGGTGACCAAATGACTACGAAATTGCTCCTATTCCGCCATTCGAATAAACGTCAGGAACTATGCCAGGCAGGGATGTTCCCAAAAGCAAAATGTTGGCCCGGATCATCTTATGCTAGTAACTCACTCTAACCTTCAAAAATGCCCAAGGATCATATTGTTTGCAGTCCCTGCCATCAACAAATTCGAAATGAGCACCAGAAACTAGCCCATAAGCCAAACATAAGCCAAGCTCTTCGGCAAAAAGCAGACTAGTTTTGACCTCATTCTGACTTTTATGCTTGACCTCAGGTCAATGGGAATGGTTATTGCCTAAGTTGGTTTATTGCCTAGGAAACTATCTCAGACTTGTATGGCTTCGTCTCGCACTCCGATGTTGCATCATATAGAACGGTTCCCTAGAAATGCTCCTCGCTGATAGCTATGGTCTGGCTTTGACCTGCTACAGGTCAGTGACCTCACAATGTGCATTTGTTTTCTACATAAAAAGATATGCGGTTCGATTCGTCACAGCTATGCCAAGTTCGGCGTGTTTATGCCACGTTCGGAAATCATTCTCGAAAACCCTCGGGGAGGGTCAATTTGACCCCCACCCTGTTAACTGAGACCGAAGCCAGAAGTTATCAGACATAATAAATATGTTTCTTTTTGGAAACGAATAGCCTGAAGGAGCCACGCTTTACATGAGAGCATGGAAAAAAGCCGTCGACACTAGTCATTTCCCGTTGGTTGAGTTAAGTCTTTCAAATCTGATAGCACTGAAAAGACTTCTTTGAAATTTTTCGTGGACTGTACAGAGATATTGGAGGTCTGATAGACTTATTCCTCGGAGAAAAACAACAATAGAATTGAGATATAGTTGGGTTGATATTTCAGCAACATGCCTTTATCGAGACAATAGCAGAAGTGAATTTGTTTTGGAATTCACTTCTGCTATTGTTTCGATAACGGCACGTTGCCGAAATATCAGCCCAAGTATATTTCCATTCTCTTGGTTTTTCTCCGAGGAATAAGGCTAATACTACTGTCGTCTACTAATACTACTATCTAATACTACTGCATTTGTTTTGGAATTCACTTCTGATACTGTTTCAATAAAGCCACGTTGCCGAAATATCAACCCAACTATATATATATATATATATATATATATATATATATATATATTCTTGGTTTTTCTCCGAGGAATAAAGCTAGTACTACTGTTTTATCTATGTGAATAATGTTCTTCGCTAATGCACTGAACAACTTACGTGATACTGGAGGTCCGGTCTACGTAAATTGTACATGCAAATCGTATTACATAAGTTGTTCAGTGCATTAGCGAGGAACATTCTTCACATAGATTAGACAATAGTATAAGCTTTATTCCTCTCAGAAAAACCATGAGAATGGAGATATAGTTGGGTTGCTATTTTGGCAACATGTCTTTATCGAGATAATAGCAAAAGTCTTCTGCTATTGTTTATCCGCTGCTATTGTATATTGTTCATCTGTTCATCAGGTCGGAGCCTGAACTAAGCCTGGCTTTCGTAACGCGATTCGATACTTCCCTTAAAAGTCGCCTTCAGAGGCTCACTACCTGTCAGTTGCATTAAATAGTTCTAAGATCGCAAGCTTATGTCCCACTTTTTGAATGGCCTTGCCAACCATCGGCGTACTCACTTTGCATTGGTTTATTTACTATCACATCATTTCCGGACCCTGTGACCTTGAATAATTTCCGACGCCCACAGCATATAAAGGCCGTACTATCGGTGACCATGAATGCTCTTACTCTCTCTGGGCTCGCATGAGCAAGACCGCCGTTGGTTGTGTCGCCGGACGTCGTGGTGTGAGCGTTGGTGCGTGCAAGTGGGTTAAAAATAAAAGCTATAGTTTGTCAAGATCTCTCCTTAACTGATTCACGAGCAAGACTGACACGAGCGAGGTCTGCGCTAGTTATAGCTACCACACTAACAGTCAGAAATCCGTTATAGTTGTCACGCTAGCAGTCCGGAATCTGTCACACGTGGACTCCGGTCTAATTCCTGTTGAACAAATGGGCTCTCGGGCCCAGACCGATACGGAGCCGACTGTTCGGTGCTACTGACGCCGTGAAGCGGCTTGTGTGTGTTTAGTTTGTTTACAGTGTGCTTATGGTGGACAGTGTTGTAAGCGTTTGAACTACAGATTAGTGATCGCTGTCTGTGTCGCTATCTGCTGTCCGTTGATGGCAGAAAAGGCAAACAGACATCGCAATGGTGTCGCCACTCTCCGTTCATACACGTGCCGTGCTGAGGCTGCCGCGTTGAACACCCCGACCCTTTTATCCTTTTTCTTGCTTCATCCCGCATCCTCACGACACCCCGCTCATCCGGGGCAGGCTGCATGCGTCAGTCACGAGTGGGTCGAGAGGCGCCCACCTGAAGGGGGACCCCCACCGGACGTTCAACGCACATTCCGAGGGGTCCCTGCGTGGGCTTAGGCCCGATGGTCACCCCCCCCCCCCCCCCTCCCTCCAGGTGCATGTAGTCCTGCCCCATCGCCATGCATTCTCCTTCATCTCATAGCCCTGGAAAGATCATTTCTGGTCCAAAAGGCTGTAATTCAAACAGCCAAACGTGCTGAGATGTTACAACGTACCGTGTAGCCTGACCACAGAGTTTGCCTTTCCGTGATCGTTTGCCTTGCCTCCCTTTGGAGGGAGCATTTCCCTTTTTGTCATTCTGCGTCGGCATCATCCTGATGCCGACAGCCATGTTTCCGACAGCACCAGCGCAGCCACCGCAGAAATACAAGTCCCGGCCACTGGGCCGCATCCAGGAGGTTGGTAGCACAGACCCTGAGGTACAAGCATACGCGCTGGTGTTGTTCTGCACGGGGGCTTGGGTTGTCAGCTGAGGACAACATCAGGGCAACTACTGCCACCTTCTCGGTCGTCACGGAGGATGATTTCCAGTGCGACAACCTTGTTGTGATATAGGCCTGCCGGCGTCGGGTCATGTGACCCGTTAGGTCAGCTGACGGGTCACCACTCACACTGTGTTACCGATTTTAAGAGGTGGTAAGTAATGTCGCACGTGCAGCCGTGCTGGACCGCTCGCGTCGGAGGTGAGTGGCGGCGAGCTGCTCGAGCGCTTGGCAGGCACTGATGGTGCAGCAGTCCGAGCAGGCGGCGCAGCGGAAGGAGCAGCTCACCTCCATGCTGGAGCGGGGGCTGCCAGTCAGGAGCTGCCGCCCAGCCGTCTCGCGCCCAGGTCGCCGCCGCCGCTGCCGCCACGGTGCGAGCTGCGAGATCCCGCCGAGCACTACCTCGGCGTCACACCTGACATCCTCCGCGTCTCTCACGGATCGGGCGCTACCTCGGCGTCACACCTGACATCCTCCGCGTCTCTCACGGATTGAGCGCTACCTCGGCGTCACACCTGACATCCTCCGCGTCTCTCACGGATCGGGCGCTACCTCGGCGTCACACCTGACATCCTCCGCGTCTCTCACGGATCGGGCGCTACCTCGGCGTCACACCTGACATCCTCCGCGTCTCTCACGGATCGGGCGCTACCTCGGCGTCACACCTGACATCCTCCGCGTCTCTCACGGAGTTCGGCGCGCTGCGCCAGAAGTTCACCGACTTCAGATTCCTGACCCGTCTGGAGACGCCGTCCGTCGCGGAGCGGAAGGCGGCCCTGATGTCCCTGTTTGACGACGTGTGGACATGGGCGTTGCGTCACAGCCTCCAGCGCGCCCCGGACGCGGACCTGACAACCATTCTCGACACGATGGAAGCTCATCTGCGAGGTCGGCGCGGTCTAATCCTAAACCGACGGAATTCTACTAGGGTGTCCAGAAGTCCGGTGAGATGTTCGACGATTTCGTGCCGTTAATCAAAGACATCTTCGCTTATTTTGACTTTTGTGGCGCGTGTATGGACGTCCGGTACAGTGACAGGATAGTGGTCGGTACACGTGACGAGGAGGCGCTGAAGAACATACTGCACGAGCCAAAGCTGACTCTGCAGAAGGCGGTGGATATTTGCCGCGCGTGTGAGTCGGCGAGTGCGAACGGTGCTGCCGTCCGTAGCGAGCCGACTGCTGTGGCTCGAGTGCCGGCGTATCGCAAATCGCGTGTCCCTCTTAAAATCGATGCCACACGCGCACTCAACCGATGTGTCTCCGACCGCGCCATCTTCCGTTCTCACCGGTTGGATCTTGGCTCGGCTCGTATCTGGCCTCCCGACAGCGATGTGCATTCGCCAACGACCGAATGGGCACTGCCCCGCGGGCTGGGGCGCCAGTCAGCTGGTGACCAGTTACGTGGCCTAACCAGTGAGCTGGTGATCCGTTAGCTGACCTGCTTGCCGACCCCGTTAGCGCCCAGCCCATCAGACCGGGCGCCAGCATGGCCTATATCGTAACAAGGTTGTCTCACCGGAAATAATCCTCCGTGACGACCGAGAAGGTGGCAGCAGTTGCCCTGGTGTTGAACACTACGTAGTTGAACACTACGACGTTGTACGATGCGTCTTTTGGCATGATAAATGTTGTGTTGGACTTCTAACATCGTGGGTGTTCCGATCATCTTCTTTACGGCTGCATTTATGTGTTCACGGCAGCAACCTCTTCATTTAACAGTTAAATCCGGTTCCCTTTGGTTTGCCTTGCAATGAGCGATGCTATGTGCATTGCATGCATCGCCTAACGCGTCGAACGACCACAGAGATCCGGGTCGCGAGCACGCAAGGAGATAATGAGCTTGGGATAATCCCAAGAATGCACCAGTTGACCAGTGGCAGCCGACATGGGAAGGCGCCTCCTAAACGAGCAACACCCCACCCAGCACTGCCGCAACCCGTGTGCTGTGAGGTTGGCCCACCTGCACCATGATGACGGGTCCGCCGTTGACGTAGAGCTGCGGCCGGAGCCGCGGCAGAAGCTGCTCGTACCAAGCCGTCACGGCCGACATGTAGCGAGGGTCACTGGTCCGAAGACGCACGCCCGGCCGCCGCAGCAGCCAGTACGGCAGGCCGCCCAGGTCGCGCTCGGCGTCGATGTAGGGCCCCGGCCGCAGGATCACCAGCAGCCCCAGCTCCTGCGCCATCCGCACGAACTCCTCCAGGTCGCGCTGGCCGCTGAAGTCGGTGACGTTCTCCTCGGGCTGATGCTCGCTCCACTGGACGTACGTCTGCAGCGCGTTGGCGCCGCTCGCGCGCAGCCGCGTCAGCCGGTCCCGCCAGTAGGCGCGAGGCACCTTGAAGTAGTGCACCGAGCCGGAGACGTAGCGGAACGGCCTGCCGTCGCGCTGGAAGGTGTCAGGCCCGACGGTGAATGAGTGCCGCTCGAACGTCTGCCGGCCGGCGCAGACGCCCGTCAGCAGCGCGACGAGCAGCACGAGCAGCCACCGTGAGCGCATGGCGAGACGGGTGCTGAGCTGGGAGCTGTACTGGCGCCGGCGCGCGCTGCCGGCTTGTGCTCTGCCGGACCGCGGCTGTCGGCGCTCCTGGCGGCACAGACCGCCCTGAACGCTGTTATCAGCGGCGTCCGCTGCCGGCCAACTGCGCAAAACGTGTGTGATTGGCTCCAGTGGACTCAACGGGGCCAGTGCAAGCCCCGGGATTGGAGAATGGAAGTGTTCCGTTCCCAGACAGACACAGCCAGGGGCGGCGCCAGCGGGGGGAGGGGGAGGTGTCCAACTCTATCTTCGGATAGAGTGGGGACAGTTCCCTATACCAGCAACCTTCTTGCAGGAAACATCTATTATTCGCGTAGATTTTCACTAAGGGGCTATATTCTCGATTCAACCATGATAAAGGTCCCACCCATCGGTAGGATTACATTGCGGCAAAGCTAGTACGATGTTACTCGGACCTCAAAAAACCGCTCGGCGGTATTTCGCATATACTGGCCGACCGCATTCATTGCCTACCGTGCCTGGATTTTCAAACCGGATTAGGGCATTGGATCCCTACGTGCCTGCAGCCTATGAATAAAGGACCTTTTTAAAGGAAAGGTAGAAACCAATACTGAATTGTAAAGAGCGTGCTACAACGAAATATCCTTAGAGGCTATCGTGGCAGGTCGGATCTATGTTCTGATGTCAGTGGTAACCTCCACCCTGTCTCATTTTTAACCCCACACTGTGTTATGCCTGGCCGATCTGCTCCACTCTTGCCTACGGAGCTGACTGCTCAGTGCTGGTGGTGTCCGACCGATGTACAGGCCCTCATCAACCCAAGATGACCGTAATTGGCGCGAAGGGCTCTCTGATTGGCATTCGAGGGCCCCTTAATGCAACGTCTGACAGCCTTTCTGACCCCTAATCGTTCGTCCGGAGGGGCCTAAGGGGAGCAGACGTGCCCCAAAGCGCCATTGTACGGATCGAAATGGGTCCTTTTCAGGCCTGATTGGGCCCCATGCAGCCCAAAATAGTCACACAGTCAATAATAGGCCCTCTATCTCTACACCGTAGTCTGGAAAGAGTAGAGTTAGAGAAAGAGTCATAACCTCAGAAACAGCCCGTCTTAAGTGAGGTAGGGACCTAGTAAAGGCTGACAAACGGAGAGCTTCGGACTCGGAAAAGACCTACCTCACTTTTCGGACCTGGGAAGGACCCATCTCTGGCCCGGAATGGGCCCATTGTAGGCTCAGAAAGCAAGTGGCGGTGTATGCGCGGGGCAAGCTGTCCCCATGCATGAGGCAAGGGTCAAAACTACTTTTCCCACAAATTTCAGGTGGCCCACATGGGGTCCCCGGCGGATTTGTTGAAGACATTCTTTTATTTAGTGTTATCAAAGTATCGTAGAGAGCCCATCTCAAGCACGGAAAGGGTCAATTTCAAAGCAGGAAACCCCTGTAACAGTTTCAGGCACGGGATATCTATATTGACGTCTTTTCCGGTCTGAAAAGGGCTCATTGTAGACTCAAAACGGCTTATTTCTTATCAGGACAAGCCCGCCACAAACTGAGTAGTGGTCCGTCCCAGGTCTGGGTGGGGCCCATTGTGGGCACAGAAAGGGCCCTCTCAGGTCTGGAAAAAGCCCATGGTAGGTTCAGGTAGGACCTTCCTTGAATCACAAAATGTCACTTTTTAGACTGAGAGAGCAGGCATTTCAGGTCCGGAAATGGCCTGTCTAAACACACAATCCCAAAAGGAACCTGTCTCAGATCCCGCAAGCTCCATCTCATATCAGGGGAGAGGCCAAACAGGCCAAAGGTAATACAGTTTTGGCAGGGAGGGATGAAGGCGGCATGCAGTTGGATCAAGGACTCCCTGTGAAAAGGTGCCCCGAATAACCAGCAGAATGGGCCCATTTTATTTCCAGGAGCCCCAGCTTTTTCCATTTGCATCATCATGCCGACGAATGCGTTCGTGGAGGGGCCCAGTGGATTGAACACTAAAGGGACCCTTACCTTTCGCGGACAGAAGAACCCCGTACGAAAACCACTGGGGCGCCCCATTGTCTTTCCCGGTCAGGGGTTAAAGGACCAACACAGCGGTCCCTCACTGCCTCCAGGACGCTGACCAATGCTAAGGGTCCTCTGACTGACAATCGCAGGCGCCAGGACGGTCCCGGCTTTGGAAATTAGCCCTAGGCTGCCACGGGGCAGGCCGTTCGAAATTCTTGGTGGCCAATCGACTGGCGGACCCTCAATGTTCCCAGGCCTCCCCCCCCCCCCCCCCAGTCGGCGCAAGAGGCCCTCTGATGGGCATTTGCAGGTCGGGTTCCTTTGATACAGCCTCTGGCCAACTCTTCGGGACCACTAGTTGGGCCTTTGATCGTCGGTCCCGAGGAGCCCTAAGGGCCCGTCCGGACCAGAGGGGAGACACGATGTGCCCCCGATGCCCCCCCCCCCCCCCCCCCCCCCCCCCCGGCATGCGCCCCGCCTCTAACATATGATGAGACCGTCTCAGGTCTGAAAAGAGCCCATTTCCAGATAAGAAACGTCCATGTAAGTTAAGGCCTGGGAATGGCACATCTGCGATCAGGAAAGGCTCATCGTAAACTAAAAAAGGGCCCGTTTTTGGGTAGGAAAGGCACCTGGTTGGTTCCGAAGGGACCCTTTCAAGCCAGGGAAGGGCCATATTCGGCTCAAGAGAGTTCTTATTAATGGAGTGACCGTCCATTTTAGGCTGAGAAGATAGGCATCTCATGTGCCGAAAAAGCACCTCTCATCCTTCAGGCCCGGGATGGGTCACGTCTGGTTAAACTCAGACATGACCCACGTTAGGCTTGGAAAGTGACGTTTTTCAACTGTCGAAGCCAGAGCTGTTTTTAAGGAGAGCAGGCCGCGAATCGAAAAGCCTGCTCTGAAGTGATCTGTGAGCTGCAAGGCTAGGCTCGGTGCGGCATGGCTTTCCGGGGCATTTTGACAACGATGGTAACTTGAAAAGACTCATCCCAGATCGTATTGCCACTGGCCTCGAGATGAGCTCGTGGGTTAACCGCAAAACAAATTTCCTGACTTATGAGATTCAACATGACCTACTGAGCATCATGGTGGCGATGCGAGCAGCAGGAGTTACTCCAGGAGGTGAGAGCGGTGCGTTTCTTTTCGCTGATCGCGGACGTCACCACCGACGCATCAGCCACCGAACAGCTGTCCGTCTGCTTCAGGCACGTGGATGACTCGAAGCCATACGAAGTCTTCATGGGCATGTGTGAGTGTCCCAACGCTGGCGCCGTGTCTTTGTTTGGTGTTGAGAAGGATGCCATGATCAGATTGCTTAGTGGCACGGACCTTGTGCGAACGATTGTGTTTATGGTGACAGTAAGATGTATCGCAGGGTGTCTGGAGGGCAGGCAAGCTTTTCCAGAAGCAGCCTAAGTCCAACATCGCGCACTGTCCCAGCCACGTGTTGGGCCTAACGCTTGTTGAGGAAGCAAAAGAAGTGCCGCTGGTAGCCGAAACAATGAACCTGGCGAGGAACGCATCGACGTGGCTAAACACTGCAAAGCGGAAGAACATGTTCCAGGAGCGCATCCGGGGCGGGGATGACGGAGATGGTGGTTTCGGTGGAGCTAGGACATGCCGCCCAGAAAAACTTCTGGTTTCTCTGGTTTCTCTGGTTTCTCTGGTTTCTCCTCGCAGTCCGCCCAGCACGGCGGACAGCGAGGTGTGAAGCGTTCCGGCGCTTCTAGGACACCTTGAATAACTGGACCCGCCGGCCGAGTGGCTTGCCCTCGGTCGGGTGGTGCGCGATTACATCAGCTGCAGGGCCGGGTGGGTTACGTGTTCGTAGTGCAGTTGTACGTTGTGTCCTGCGCCGCTGCTGGGGCGGGGCGCGGCACGTGATCAGGTTCGCAGGCCGGCCCCGGCTGCGCGGCAGACGCGCGCCGCCGCCGCAGTTCGCACGGCCCCGGCTCGCGGCCCCCGCTGTGGGGAGTCGCCGTTGGGAGAGCAGCGAGGGTAGGTGCACCGTCAGGGGCTCCTGCGGTGCGAGACCAAAATACGGAGAAGAGAACACTTAGCGAAAAACACGTGGTGAAACACTTAGCGTCCCGTTACAAGCCATTTCGGCAAAATGGACTGGCTTGAGAAAGTAGAGACAGCTACACGTGCGAAGGTACCGGACAAGTGACTGCGAGCACAGTGTCGGGTGCGGCCCGAATAGAGGTACTTGTGACTGTCTGTAAGCCGCTGAACTTCGGGTTCATTCTGGGAATGAACGGCGTGAGGGTGCTTCGGGGCGTGTCCGTCAGTGCGTCGAATGCAGTGCAGTTCGGGGCCGATGCACTGCCGGCTGGGTCGGCGTCTCCGGTGATGGCAGCGGCTTGTGATGTGAGCACAGCCGCTGTCGTGTCACCCGAGCCGGCCGGCCATGGCCGGGGGCAGAGAGCGGCGAGCAGCAGGCGTGGACGGTCGCCTGGAAGTGGGCGGACGCCAGCGCCAGTGCTGCAGATGGCGTAGAGCGGTGGAGCAGCCTCCCGTGACCGGAGGAGCGGTGGAGCAGCCTCCCGCGGTCGGTGGAGCGGTGGAGCAGCCTCCTGTGACCGGAGGAGCGGTGGAGCAGCCTCCCGCGGCCGGTGGAGCGGTGGAGCAGCCTCCCGCGGCCGGTGGAGCGGTGGAGCAGCCTCCCGCGGCCGGTGGAGCGGTGGAGCAGCCTCCCGCGGACAGTGGAGCGACGGGTCGGTCTCCCGCGGCCGGTGGGGCGCTGGAGTGGTCTCCCGCTGCCGATGTAGCGAAGGGCTAGCCTCCCGAGGCCGGCTGAGCAGCGGCCGGCCACAGCCAGCCGCTTCGTGGCCGAAAAGGCGGTGTGGCTGCTAATGATGGTGCCGGTGTGACAGGCGACGGTGACGAGCGAGTGTTGCCGCGTCGGAGCGAAGGAGAGCAAAGGTCCGTGCGATTGTGTACTTGTTGATCATCAGGATCAGGGTGGGGTGTTCGAAGTGCAGTTGTACTTTGTGTCCTGTGCCCCTGCTGGGGCGGGGCGCGGCACGTGGTCAGGTTCGCAGACCGGCCCCGGCTG